ATATCCCGTCAAAATCGGTCAAGTTGTTATAGAGATTAGCCGGAACAAACAAACTGACGGACTAAAAATACAAAAAATATTTGTATTTAGTGAAAAGCAAGCCGTTATTTTAATGTAAGAAACAGACATTCAAAGTTTATTTGTATAGATTAAAATAATTGCTTTAATTTTGGTCAATTGCTACTTTTTGAGGGTTCTTTACCGAGAAAGCAACGTATTAAATGAATTTTAAATATCGAGTGTTCTTTTGGGGGGTTAATCAGAAAATATGAAAAAGCTTCATAAACTAGGATAGTATGTAACATCAAATGAAAAAGGTTTATTGTGAGCATATAAATATATATTTCCAGTCTCAGTCCTCCCCGATCTCTGGAACTACTACGGTCTAAAATGTGGAAATAAATACGGAAATATTTTATTGAGTACTTATTATATATATTACTAGAATACCTATAAGAAGTATGTGGTCCTATTTGTGCGGTATACTTTGTGCGCGGGTCCGACTCATTCTTGGCGTTTCTTTATGCAGTTTCCACGGACAGTTACAATGTAACTACCAAGATAATTTAATATTAATAATAGCAAAGTAAGCAGTTGATCTTGACTCAATGACCTTATTAATTCTTTTATATGTAAATTAAATGATGTTTGTTATGTTTGTTGGTAAGCACAACTCTAAACGACAAAATAAATTAATATTCTCAATATATTTACAGTCAACAGCACGTCAGGTTATACAAAACACAAAAGTCATTGAAGATAGAGTTGAAAATCAATAACAGTGACATATTGTAGTCACCCGATACCGTGTGTGCCCATAAGACTACGTTAAGCGGTGAAAATAAAATTGCCTCAAAGAACGGTTAATATTTGCACGCATCAGACTTGTTACATAAAAATTGACGTTGACCGCCATTAAAAGGAAGTGAAAAACCGAAAGACTGCCCCTGTCTGTCATAGTGCCCGGCGAAGAAATGAGAACAGACGATGGCGAATTGCACGGCTAAAGCTTTAATGAATTACTCGCAAAATGTTATTTACGATTATTATAAAAGTACACTACACACTTGGCTACTAAGTGCACTATTAGCTTGGCTACTAAGTGACTCAAGTATTTATCAATTTTCCCTTTAGAAAACAGCACAATTAAGTCTATCAACAAGAAATGGAAAGAAGAAAATAGTTGTCTAGAGGTAACTTTACGATTTTTGCAACAGAGATAAATCCATAAATTCACGTTTTGACTACGACATAACCCTTGGAAGTATGATTTGTTATTCTCATTTTGAATTACAACTTATTTTGACGGTATTTCTTTGTACAAAACTAGTTGAAAGTTAATGATACTTAAACTAAGTTGAGAAAAAATAAAAAAAATTGACGAGCTTAAGTTTTTGTTTTACACCTGCTTTACGACTAACTTACTGCTGTAAGACATAATGTGATCTTTAATGACGCAAATGTTCGACCTCGTTGTTTTTCATAGAATAAGAGTGTCACGTAAGCGGACTTATGTAATAAATAGTCTTGACATACATAGTTATCGTCTGATATGCTGACTCTACATAACTTACTCTATTGGCAAACGTTCTGGTTCACTAAACTCACTATAAATAACTTGATACGGACAATGACTAATGTTTTAAAAGTCATTTTACTGATAGTAAATGCATAGGTGAATATCGTTCCGTAAAAAAAACTTGGTTCTTCATTTCTATTTGAGATTTCATAATTGAACTATTTTAATTGGAAATCTTTGCTTTGAAAAATCAGGCAAATTGAGTTAATGACCAAACTAAACTATTTTCATTGCAAAGACAAAATATTAATTTAGTAAATCAATGGCGTCACACGTTTTTGTGGACACTTTATTATTTGTTGGGAAAGTCAAGGGTACACAATCTAAAAATATTGTGTACTATATGTACGGGGAATAATTTCCGGTGTTTTCAAATTTCATTCTACCTCCTGCTGGGCCCGTCATTTGCAGTGCAATCGGAAAACGACATGTGAACAGAGGGCGGACATATTCCATTTTCTGTCTTGATTGTTTCCAATCCAAGTACCTAATGGAAATGTTATTTTGTAATAAAATGGTACCGTTACATTATTTAGGATATATTTAGCACAATTCATTAGTAGTAGATTGTAGATTTTCCTGTCCATGTTTTAATATGGAAATTCAAGTAAAAGTAATTATTTCAATATACATTTTTTTTTCTCGGGCATTAATATTTTCTAAACAACAGTTTACCATTATACGAGTTTTTTGATTTCATAAAAATACAATACGGCGACCTGCCGCAGAGCGTCACGAGTCACGGTGTCTACGTTTCGCGCCACATACTCTCTCGAGTCTGATTGGTTAGCGCCGATGGCGTGATGCATATGCGTTGGTGATATCGTGGCCGACGGTGCTGCCACCGCCACCACGTAACTTTTTACGGATGACGTAGATCAAAAGTCGTGCCACGCGATCGCAAGCCTACGGACTTGAAGGTCATTTTATGCGGGAAGCGGCCGGTGATGAAGTAAACGAATCTTAGACCGATACTACGAATATTAAAAAAAAATAAACTTTATAATCATTAGTTTATCGCTGATTAAACTCTACAGATTGTACTCTTATCATTAGAATATCATATTAAAGAGACTCTATCGACTGAAATTAATTATGTATATTAAGCAGAATTTGAGTAGGTTAGGGATTGGTTATTAATTTACTTTACTAGTAACAGAGAGTTACTAACAGATGTGTACCTAGAATTTGTATTTTTTTCTATGTACACATAGAAAAAAATACAAATTCTAGGTACCGACTTACCTATTTAGATTCCAATATAAGTTACATAAAATCAATAGGCACACGAAATCCCTAGATCCTATAAAAATATGTGGTTTGTTGAGTTTCAATGTTATTCAAAGATGTTCTGTTGTCATTATTTAAGTCAAAGAATTTAAATTATAGTTATATTTTTTTACAATTAATCTTCTTTTCATAAAATTTTGATAATATTGTTGCTGGTTGCCTTAAATTTGTATTTCCTATAAATGTCATGTGATACGCCACCGATTACATAATTATAACCACAGCTTAACCATATCTGTTAACTTTAAACTAACATTCGAATTTTTCCTATTTTTATTCCTATCCATTAGTAGCATATCTTTGCAATGATCATTATGTGTAGGTAGACTCTACCGTTCTTCATACCAAAGATTTGTCATACATCTGACTGTAATGTATAATCTTAACATTATAAGCTTTTTTCTCCTTATATTTAGTCTACATTTTATGGTGAAAGACCTACACAACGTTGACCTTCAACTTAAAACGAACTTCGTTTCGTAGACGCGAAAATTTTACATCCTTATTAGAATTGAAAATTCAAACATTTAGGCAACTATCGCATAATATTTTTAGCCGTCTGATGGAACCCTAGGTTTTCCATTTTAGAGATTTCCATAATAAATTGAAAATTAGAACACTGAATCCCATTATTAATTACACGTACAGTTTTTTTTTTTTCACATATTTGTGAAAAATATACTAATGATCGGTAGTTTACCCGCTAGGTTTAAGCTATTGGACATTCGGTCAAGATAACCGGACAGTTTGAAATAATACGAAATCAAACAAACAACAGAAATATTCGTCATACCATCTATGTTAACACAGGGACGAAATGTTGTTTTAATAATAGGATCGAGTCGGGGAAAAAAATACAAAGCGTTCAAAGTAGATGCTGGGGTCCTACAAATATTATGTGTGTGACCCAACAATAGGGAGCTTTAGTAATAAAAGGTATGATTTATTGATGTGTCATGTTTGTATGGTGTGGACTTTATGTATATTGAATTTCGTATGTTTGATTAAAAATAATAGGTGAACGTTACAGTTTCTTAAATCATTTAAAAAACGTGTAATTTTGTTATAACGTTAAACAATTTATTCTCTAGGCAATTTTTTTTTATTAACGCCTTAGTTACGACTGAAATTAAATTGACTTTGCTGACGGTCAGTTGCACAAACGTCCATTACGGTTTAAGCTCTAATGAATGTCAAATTTGTATCGGTAATGTCGCTTTAAACTAATGAAATTTTTAATGGACGTTAGTGCAACTGGCTGTGAATATCCTATTATAATAACTTAACCATAATTTTGTTTGGGTTCGAGTCATTGTTCTTTTTTAATTTTAAGTTCGACTTGCCAGCGCGGCGTGTGTATGGGTTGGGCAGAGAAGTTTTGCGATAATTTCTATTCTGCCAAATACCTATATGTCCGTCTTTATCACATGCTTATCTTTATAAGTTACGGTGCAGGCCACACCTTGAACGAGCGTTCTGTTTGTAAACGCTATCAATTACTTAACGTACTATAATCGTTGCGCCCTCAATTAAGTGCATTATTTATTCAACTCGACTATAGTTCAAACTTGATTTCCTTACTTGAGTCGAAAAATGTCTTCTTTCAAATTTAATATTGAATATTCATCATATAGTTTATTTTTTTGGCCATAAAGTAATTTATAATAATACATAACATCTATGTATTGTTGCTGGTCGTCGTCATTTTATGGTTAAGTTTTATTAAATGCTCTTTGATCGTAGTCCTTGATCTTTAAATCACTATCTGTTCAATTAAAAATTATTAAAGTTAAGTTACATAAAAAAAATAATTTCCAGTTTGAATTTATTCTGCGCTGACGACAACACGGTAAAGCTGGTTTTTTTTTTAAGGGTTAATGCCGTGCTTCTTCGTACTTTATTTAGGCGCGTTTGCAAAATTTAGTTTTCTTTTGTATTAATGAATATAACTTGTATGTTACGTCGTATGTTTTCATAATTTCTTATGTTATGTTGTTATTATAAGAAAAGCGAGTGTCATAGTATTGATGAAGAAGTTTAAATAATGAAGAACGTGTTGAATCTCTAAGAATGTGTAGAACTACAGGTTTCGTTGTCTATTAATAACGCATCTTCTATTTGTGTTGTCTAGGAGTGCTGACACATGTCAAGGCAGAATTCAATATCGGTGATGACAGCGCCGGCTTCCTCCAGACGGTGTTTGTCGTCGCGTACATGGTCTTCGCGCCCATTTTCGGGTACCTGGGCGATAGGTACTCGAGACGTACCATCATGGCGTTTGGAGTTGGTCTCTGGAGTATGACAACTTTGTTTGGATCATTTATCACCGTAAGTCTTTTTTTGTTATCTATTGAAGTGGAAAATTGTGTGTCACTGAAGAGGAGCTGTTACTCCAAATACTAGGTTATTTCATAAGTATGTACATAAGATACGTTCACGTACGTTCTTCAGACGTCCTTTAACATTGTCATTAGTTTAAAGTGACATTACCCATACATGTTTGACATTCATTAGAGCTTAAAGGCGTAATTAAACCTTAATGGACGTTTGTGCAACTTGACGACACAGTTACAAAAATAATTTAGATGCAAAGTACAAAGTGACTAAAAGATTCCAACGACTAATTGTCCGTACAGAATATCAGGTGAAATATTGCATTATCGGTGAAATGTATTTTGCTGATAATAATGGTTTTGCATTTTAGTTAGGTAGGTACGCTGATAAGCGATGAGTGTCATTAAAAAATTTACTTGGTATGCCACGATGATAATCGAATAGGTAGGCAAAGGAATTGTTTAAATTTTCATGACATTCCAAAAATAAATAATAATATTTACTAATGACTTCGTTATGACTTCGTTTATTTCATCCTGTCTATACATATCTTTAATTTAAGTCTTTCGCTGTTATTTTGATCATGTTCTTTATATGAAACCTGAGGTAAGCGTTGATTTGCACTAGTTTTCTCATTTTAGTTTATGGTTTTTGTTCAAGAATTTCACATGGTTCGCGTTTTTCCGCGGGCTGGTGGGCATCGGCGAGGCGTCGTACTCGACAATCGCTCCTACCATCATTAGCGATTTGTTCGTGGGTAACGTCCGTTCAAAGATGCTGGCTATCTTCTATTTCGCCATACCAGTTGGCAGGTAAATAAGTCTTAGAACAAATAACAATAATTAGAATTAAATTATCGGAAAATCTGAAAGAACTTGTTGGAAATGGGAAGTCGGAGTACAAAAAGTTGACTATTGTATTAAGAAACGAATCCTATTATGAGTGTGCAGTGAGTTGGCGCTTCTAAAAACGTTGATAGGTCAATGTGACCTTGAAGTTGCTCAGCAATAATACTTGTTTGTCGTTATGATATCTAGTATTCATTTTACCAATTGAAATTATTTATGTATTTATGAAATTACTTTTTCCAAATGCATGGTTTAGATTAACGATATTTCGTATTGCCAAGCGTCCAGATGAAGTCGGACATAGTTAGGCTTTTTGATTGCGTGTCCGGCCAAAATATACGGGGGGCGGCATGTTGTATATTAATGGTAAATAATCAGAAAAACTTGTTTCTTTCACATATATTACATTAAGACGCAAAATTTTAGCAATGTAAGGACCTCAGTCTTTTTACCTAAATGTTCAGCCAAACAGGCGGGTCTGTCCGGCTATTAAGTTAAGCGATCTAGTAACCCTATATATGATAAATTACGATTTAAGGGAGCTTGAGAAAATTTCATTTTAAAAGTAAAGTGCTTTGGGATAATTCGAAAACGGGATAAGTAACGATTTACATCGAAAAACCGTTAATTCTGATGTATAAAATAGTTTATTGTTGATAAATAGGAGAAACTAAACTGGTAGCAGTTTGTTTATTTGGAAAATTCCCTGGTTTCCTGAATTACGGCATATGTTTTGCATTTTGTATATTTTATCATCAATGAAAAAACATCAATGAAAATGCTTATCTATAATTATATTTGAAAGTGTAAGTAATACCGAATGATTCCGAGAAAAAAGTAATGGATACCTAATCAGTTTCGTGTGAAAATATCGATAATTAAATGTCAGGTGTTCTGCTACAAATATCATTTTACGAGTCTTTGTTTACAATATAGGTAATATGTTTATACGTATACCTTAATTAAGTTCTAGAACTAGATACCCTAACTTCGTTATCTATAATCTCTTTCTGGATTTACCCATTTCATTCACTTTTATGTCCTAGACATTTTTCGTATACATAAATAGAATATTACATATTATACACTAAGGCACCGCGCACACTGGTGACTTATTGTCACCATGACTTTGTTTCCATGTCTAAAATTGCTTACGCTGCTGGTGCGTGCTCTTGAACACGTGACAATTTGATTACTTCGATACAAATAACAGGAACAAGTCAACAATGACAAATAATCAGTAGTGTGCACGTAGTGTAAGAAATTAACTGTGAATAAATATTAGAATGGTTCACTTTCAAAACACGCTAAAACGTTGATCAGCGAAATTTTCTTTTTTTAATTCACCTATAATTTTGCCTCAAAACTCACTAATTACATTCTAAATTAACACACAAACATTAATGTTTGTTGTAAACTTTGTTCCGTAATAAAATTTGTATAATATATTTCAGCGCTTCGAAATTTTGCATAAAATATAAACTTTTTAGTGCGTCTTGAAAGTGGACTACTCATTAAGAAACTTGTACCTATAACCAAAACATGGAATTTCTCATTTCTAGTGGCATGGGTTATATTGTGGGTTCAGTAGCGGGAGGTGTAGCTGGCGATTGGCGTTGGGGCCTTCGTGTCACCCCGGTACTGGGTGCTCTCGCTGTCGGGCTCATTGCTTTAGTCATGAGAGATCCAGAGCGAGGAGCGGCAGAAGACAGCCACATGACAGCTACTTCCTACAAGGACGACTTGCGCTCACTCATTAAGAAGTGAGTGTTTTTCTAACTAAAACTGACAATGCAGGTTTTATGCAATATGGCGACTGGCTGTAATTATTTATTTCGTCATCTAACATATTTTAAGTCTGTGGGTGTTGTTGTTGTGATATCTAGTTTATATATCGACTTTTAATTATAATTGAAATAATTTCTTGATTTAATTAAATTATTGATAAAAAGTTATTTATGCTATATCGTTTAGGCTTTCTAATATGTATTATAGTTTGAGAGAATTTTCTTTAAATGTAATTTCCCTATTAAAGCAGTCGACAGCAGTTTTTCAACAATTCTTTGGAGGTAGTAATTCTTATACTGTTAGGTATGTTATTCACGTAGTCATTTAGTATATTGTGGCCCTGAGCGGCGGCAGAGTAATAATACCCGCGCAAAGGTAACTTTTTATGATGTGTTCGTACATTTACTTTAAAATCTAGTTCATGTATATACTTTTGTTGTTTGATAAACGTGAACCAACTGGTTTGGTTAATATACTTCATACTACATACTCTTGAGAAGTGGTTAGCGCGTTCAGTCTTGCGATGCGGAAGTTAAGCACTTTTCGCATAGGCTGATCGTAGGATGGGTGACCGAATTTTATTATTGTTTAGGCGTTGATTCCGGCTGCATTAGCCTTCGTTGACACCCTCCAATCCGCACTGGGCCCGTGGAGCGGGTCATGGCCCACTCACCTAATCGATTCCATCCGTAGGGAAGGTCTGTGCCCCGGCAGTACAATTTAGAACTAGAGAAATGGATGGAACGTGTGAACTAGTGTAGCTTTTACTCGATTGCACGACACAAAGGAGGGTAATGTGTTTATCAGTCTATGTATGTATGTTTGATTCTGTGGCGCTCTAGAGACCAAATGCGTAGGCCGATTTTGATGATTCTTACTTCAGTCGATTCGTCTAAACGTTGCGACAGTAATCAAAATTCACCACAGCGACAACCGGACGCCATATTGTAAAAATGAATAGGTATTTTAAAATCATCTTTATGTTCCTTTTATCATTTTTCATTTTAAATAATAGTTGAGGATATAAAGTCAACGAATCGTAACTAAAAAGTATAAAATAAAAATAAATAATTTAAAGAAAAACAAAAAACCCAACTGCGTAAAAACGAATTTTAAAAAATTCATGAAAAAATTAACATAAATAAAAACTAAAAAGAAAGAAACTTTTTCATGTTTCATAAGTATTTTTTTTTTAATCGTTTTCATACCATTAGGACGGGAACGAAGTTTATCATTTCATTTACACAAAAATCATCCTGACTATAGTTTAGTTTCTAAAAATAGATTTATATGTACGCCGAGTTCAATGCTAAGGCAGTCTAATTTGCAAAGCATTATTTTTGGCATCGCGATAGTATGAGATTGGTCATGGTCCTCGTCTCATGAATCAGTGAAGATTATGACGTCATGTTTATTTGAGGTATATGATGCTTGCATCGGAAAATCTAATGTACTATATCACGCAAAGGTAGATCGTAGTCAATCAAAGGCTAATGTAGTGTGAAGTCAGTTCTTATAAAAAAAATCAAACGTTACATTTACTAAAATTTTACGCTAGAATTTAAAATTTTAACTATATAATTCCGAAACTTATTGTGCTTTTATACGTACCCACGCAGGTAATTAAGTCAAACCAAGGAGGTAAAATTCTTAAACAACAACAAAAAAAGTGTAAGAAAAACAGTATGCCGAGATTTTGTTAGACCCGTATTGAATTGACGCCTCCTCAAATAGTTTCTTATAAGAAAAAATTTGTATTGCTTGTTAAAATCTGTTAAGAAACTAAATCTTATTTTGTAAGTGCGCTTAACCAATGTAACGTTGTAAAACGGAATTTTCATTTAACTGGAATTTATTTTTTTAAGATAATTACTCTTTTCATAATAATGCTGTATCACAAATTATAAACAATTGATTAATTAGACAAGCTTATAGTCTCATTAGTTTTCACTATGCATATTAGCGAGCGGAAGTGAAGCAAGACGAGTGAAAATATGTAACGACTAATCACGAAACCTATTGCCATTCCAAATAGATTTTTAAATATGTATTTCCTTTTTTCTGGTCTCTTAGGAGCTAATTGATTTGTATTCAATATAATAACAAGTGTACATATGTAATTCGAATATCTTTTAACAAATTTAGGCGAAATCATATAATATTCTGAGATTTTTTTAAAGTGTTGGAAAAGTTGTTGGTAGGTAACGCTTTTGAAATTTGCAATGTAAATTATGCAATTTATTTATTGGAGCGATAAAGTTAATGCTGAGCTACACAGGGCGGATTGCCAGACTGTTTCGTCATTGGCGTCTGGCATTGCAACAATTTATCAATATTTATTTATAATACATATATTCAAAAAAGTCACAAAAAAGTTTGCTATTGATATTTGCTTATTCTTCATACTATTTGAAATAGCAGTTATGTATGGTCCACAATAAAGAAAAATATTTGTATCGCGATAAGTGATTGTTTAGACTGAGAGATATTATTCGATTGCTCAGCAACGATTACGTATGTAATGGATTGCAGTAGGTACGGTAACTACAGTTGTATTTGAGTTACGAAAGGTCAGAGTATGTTGCCAGCTTACTGAAACGGCAATTGATTGGTTCACAATCTGGCCATCAGATAAACTAATTATAATTGTGTTAATCGATTTTTTGATTTTAATGGATGTTTCTCGATTATTCCAGTCCATCGTTTATGCTGTGCACATTTGCGTTTACGTGCGTGACGTTTGTGACTGGCGCTTTGGCCTGGTGGGGGCCGCAGTTCATATTCCTCGGCCTCAATTTACAGAATGGAATGGACATGTCGCTGGAAAGGTAAGCTTCAAGAAACAATCTTAAATTTTATAATTTGTTAGGCCACATTCACATTGATTGGACGGGTAGACAGTGCACAGCGTTCACATATAAAATATTCAAGTTATTTTTCAATGCAATCGTTTTTATTTATGTAATAAAGTTAAAGTCAAATCCCCACCGGTAGGTATAAGTTCGAAATTTTATAGAAATAATGATGGTTTTCATTTTACCTCGGCGTGTTTATAAAATTACGTTTATTTACGTTTTGTACCTCGCAATATCTTGCATTGATCGTTAAAACGCTGATGAACTTGCAACTATATTCTATAACCGTTATTTAAGACGACCTTCGTAGTCGAATGGTTCGCATGCCGGTTTCAAGGTGTCGCCATCTCTAAGGTCCCGGGTTCGATTTCCGATCTGATCAATGTAGAAAATTAACTTTTCTATATTGTTTCGGTTTCAGGTGTCGTGTTACATTCGTTGTCTCAGATACTCCATAAAACGGGGGCTTTAGCTATACTCATATTGGAATCTGAGCAATGTATGTTATGATGTCTAATATTTACTTATTTATATGTGATAATATATTAAGATTCTTATGCCGTCCAGTTATTGTGATGTAGCTTAATGTTTATTATAAAATTTAATTCATTACTTTATATTTACAATAGTGATTGAAGAAGTTGCTGAAAGCAGATTTAATATATTTAGAGAATTGTTAATACTAAATTAAATACGGAAATAAGAATTTTCCTTTGTGAAAATCTGGATTACAAATTTTTATTCGACTCAATATCGAAATATAAAATTTAAGATCAAATGCTTTCGATTCTACTTACCTATTGATTAAATTCAACTTTTAATAAATGTTATATTTCTTTTTGTTCTGAATCTTCATGTTTAAAAATACGTGGCTAAATTAGGCATTCTCAAATATGCATGCACAATTTTTTTCTTTTAGTTAATTGAAAAAGCTTAAAATTAAAATGATAACATCTATACGCACCACTCGTGTTATGAAAATCGGAAACTACTAAAGCATAGAATGTAAATAATAAGTTCGTTTTACATTATATCCGACTGGGAATCGGACCCGGTACTGATGAAAAGTGGCACGCGAGCCGCACGCGTACCAGGTCCGGATCTAGTAGTGGAGGAGGGCAAGTGGGGGCACCATGACAACTTAAAACAGTGTAAAAAACAAGCTTCACAAAACATCCTTTAAAATAAATTCATAGAAATAGGCTTTGATGGGACGGACATCTTTTCATATTAAATTATACATTGGAAAAATAGGTATTAAAAACACTAAGGCTAAAGGCGCAGGGCGCAATATTTCTGCCACGGTTGGGAAAAGTTTTAGATCCGGGCCTGGGTCGTACGTGATAAAAGGTCGTTATACATATCCGCGAGCGTGTTGGCACACAGCGTATCGTACAAGTTCGGCCTGGTGTGTATGTTCGCTGGGGCGCTGGGCGTGCCCCTCGGTCCAGCGCTGGCGTCGCGGGCCCAAGCCCGGTGGCCCGACAGTGACCCAGTGGTCTGCGGGCTAGCGCTCCTCGCGTCCGCGCCTCTCGTCTACTTGGCCCTTATCACCGTGTCGGCCCACGCGGCACTCACCTTCCTCCTGATGTTTCTCGGCATGGTCGTTATGAACCTAACGTGGTCGATCGTCGCCGATATTGTGCTGGTGAGCGATTTCTACGGACGCTTGTGTCGTAAACGCTCGCACTGTCGAATGATATACTTTACACGTCCTCTTTTATTGCATAAAAGCGTCGATGACCTATAGACACATGCAGTGGCCGGCAAACCCTGTTAGAGGCCAAGGGCGGAATCAGGCCGATCGATCGATCTAAAATGTAAAGGCTGTACTTATTTATACACGGGGCCTACAACCACAATTTACGATTTGAACAAGAGAACTTGCAGCCATTTGGAGGCCCCTAGGACCAGAGGGCAGCAGCAGACCGCCCCATCCGCCCTCCCCTTAGTCCGCCACTGGACAGCTGATCGACATTGAGTTTCGATCAGTCTTGTATATAATTCGCAATCATAACTAAAATGACGCTTTTACGCAATAGAAAAGGATAAAGAATAATATAATTGTCAATCCTTAAGACTGTTTATAAAAAATAATTTACAGTATTGAGCGTTCGATATGAGTGAATGTTCGTTACAACAGAAACCGCCCATCGGCTCGAGTTGATAAAAAATGAAAATATTCCAATGAGAATACAATTATCATGCCATTCATTTCACAGAACAAAATATCATCGTGCTTTCATATACAGAATGCCGCTTACACATACGTATTATATTATATCAAATTTACAAACTAAAAATTTGATGAGTCTTAATTATATAGTGAACAAAATTGGGTCAAATTTGTAGTTTGTATTAAATAAAATTAATGCGTCATTACCTACCTATGCATAACGCATGAGTCAACTGTTAGAGCATCGATTGCGAATTAAAGTTACCGATGCATGTTTTGCCTGTCCTAACATTGACATGACAATGACATTGAACTCTCAATGTTTGAAGTTATATCATATTTCTTTATAATATGAAATGAAATTTCTATATAACGAATGTTACAGCACATTTGTTTATAATATTTGTATTACTATTTTCAAATAAAATGTTTCAATTAATTTCTTAAGTATCTTAATTTATGTAATGATATATAAACAATATAAGTATTTGTATACAATATTGTATAACTTGTCTAAACTCGCTACATATCAATATCTTCGAGTGGAAATCTACGCATAAGAAGCATATAAATTATAATATAAAATAGCAACGATGTGCAAAAATCTTGCAATCTATCTTTTTCTTTTCTGATTTTTGTAGACATCTACTTTTTACTACATCATGAAGGCAAATTTGCCAGATCTAAAATTAAAAAAAAATCAGAACTCCCATATTTTCAACCCTGATTTTTGAAAGCCGTTTCTTTTTTTAAAAACCGTTTATTATGTATATTACGTATGTAATTTACCAATTCTCAAAGTTCCTACACTTAGTAGTAAGGACTGCGTTGATCATCAGCCAGTCAATTTACTTTTATATGTATACCTTACTTACTAGCAGAATCGTCATGTCCCAGTAAATTATATTGAAACATTTTATTTGGTCTTACAAATTGAATTTGTTAAATTTGCGCGATAAAAAATTGTTTACAATATTACATAACGCGAATGCCATAAGTTCCCGCTATAAATTAGAAATTCTGATTGGGCGTAACCGAACAGGTGATTGAGACCGCGCGGGACAAAGTTTTTAAAAACGATAATATTGCACGAAGGGTTTCACTAATCTTCGGCGGGCTCACGATGGTATCCGGACTTTTGGGAGTGCCGCTTGGATCGTGGCTTGGCGCCGGTCTAGTGAAACAGTATCCGCGGGCACATCCCATCATCTGCGGCGCGGGACTGCTGCTATCGGCGCCCGCCATGACAGTCGCCGTAGCGATAGCGGACCAATCATTCTACGCCCCATTCATCTTCATGTTACTGGCCGAAGTCACTTTGAATCTCAACTGGGCAATAGTGGCCGATATGTCGCTGGTAAGACGGTACAGATGTAAAGGGTTTTGTTTAGTTTGCTTTTTTTTTTTAGTTTAGTGTAGGTTGTGGTGCATGGTATTGGCATGAAGTAGGCATCGTGTTAAATGGTTGACAGCGCGATGCATGCTGTTGTAAAATGTTGTTGCTATTGAAAGTTGGTAATGATAATGTTGAAGATTTTTTTACGTAAATTAAGTATTTGTCAAGTTGATTGTTGGTTATGATAAAACAAAAAAATCTGATTGTAAAATTTGATTTTAGATTATTTGTAGATATTTTGTTCTTTCTGTTGCTTGTTTAGCATGAATTGAAGCAGTCGCGCACATATTCATGGCTCACTATTGCCTGGTTTCATTAAAGTTTCATTCCTGGTTAAATATTGTTTTCTCATTGGAATATCCACATTTAATTAAATATCTTACTAGAGTCGAATGGGCTGCTTACAATTTTTTTGCGAACAGCGACATCTATCGAAACCTTTGCTAACTTCAGCTTTTGGCTGCACGTGTTGCTAATTCAGTAATGTCGAAAAGTATGGTAGATGGCGCTGCAGTAATTTGCACATAAGTCTTTTTTCTTTTGCACAATTAGACTAGAATTTGATTCTATAAAAAAAATATATTTTTCAATTTTGTAAATAACTAAAGTAACAAGAATAATATAACTTAATTTCAATAGTTGTTTTATGACTGACTAACAGAATAAAGTTAAAACAAATCGAAATTAGAACGTAGTTAGTTTTACTTTAGAGATTTGAAGCTTGGTGTAGACATTAATAGGACAGAGTCAATAATAATAATATTATTAAATTTTGACAGAATTGACACCATTATCTTTCTATATAGACATAAAACTTTTCCATTACATAATTGAAATACAGTTGAATTGTACCAAGTATTTAATTCATCACAATCGTAAAATCTCTGAGGAATAAAGAATATGACCTATCCATTAGTTATTGCATGATAACTATTGAATATTTTTATAAATCCCCAGAGGATCTAAAAGGAAATAATAAATTTAGTTATTGATTGTTCACTAAGTTAACTAGTTATATAAGGTGTAATATAATCATATGCCAGGATTTCGTGGAGTGAATTATTTAAGTCTACTGAACAACTTTAACTATGAGAGCAACACTGAATTCACGAAAATACAATCAGCTGTTTCAAAGAAAATTGTAATATCCACAATCGTTGACAGTATCTAGTTGCTCCCATAAAGTTGTTCAGTATACTTAACTAATCCACCCCACAAAGTCCTGGCATATAATAATATTACACCTTAGATATGTGGATGTTATTTTTTCACTGATTTCCTAATTATAATTAATTTTTTTTTCAGTATGTTGTTATACCACCTCGTCGATCGACCGCAGAAGCCTTCTTAATCTTAATATCACATATGTTTGGAGATGCTGGAAGCCCATATTTGGTTGGAGTGGTAAGGATATAATATATTTCTAATATTTGTTGAGATTAAAATTATAAAATCTTTATCATTGTCGACCTATTAATGTCCCCACTACTGGGACACAGGCCTTCTCTATGGATGGAATCGAACCTAATGATAAATATTTATTTTAAATATTATTAAAGCTGACGTAATACCTTTTTATTTTTGTTGATACTGATTATAATTATGTACATGTTTATTAATTTGTATATTGTCAATGACATTTTTTTATATTTATGTATTGTTGACATTTTATTTTATTATTATATTTTTATTGTAATTTGATTTGACCAATATTTTTTTACATATTTATTAATATTTGAGGGTAATAATCCTGACATTTTCTTTATTTTTTATTTAAATTCAATAATATTATTTTCTCATAATCTTATCTTGTAAGCGTTTTGGATGGAAACATCAGCTGCTAGCTTTTAAGACTTGTTTGTAATAAATAAATAATAGGGAGACTGGGCCATGTGTGATCCGCCAGGCCCAGTGTGGATTTGGGGAAGGGGTAGCAAGTCACTATGGTCTAATGATTTTTTTGTTATTGTAGATATCTGAAAGTCTGAAGAAGTCTTTGTCTTTGACGCCAACTGAAGAGCCCTCTGCCAGTGTGCAGTTTAGGGCGTTGCAGTACTCTTTGTTCACCACATGTTTTGTCGAAGTGATTGGAGGCGTATTCTTCTTGCTTACTGCGATTTACATTGTCAGAGACAAACTGAAAGTGGACACAGCGATTGCGAGTACGTAATATATATTATCTTCATTGTATATAAATACTAAGTATTTCTTTTAGTTTTCTTAGTTTCGCTGCAAATTTAATTTCTTGAAGCTGTATTTGCGTTGTTTCAGTTAATGCAAAAATTATTTAGTATGTAGGTGAGTGTGCTTACATAATGCTTTATTTTATTTAAACATTTCAAGATATTATTTTTAAATATTTTTTTTTTCTAAAATATAGACAAAGCCTGGCCCTCAATTCTGCCCCTTTTTTACGTAACAATCTCATCTCAATGTAATAGTTAAGCAAAGCCTTGTTCAAGGTTAGGGAAAACGGATGTGTCTTTCGAAATAAAATTATTTTTATTGTATAAATATAAATTTAGAAGCTGTGAAATTTTATAAATTGTAAATTCCGGTGCTTCCGTTCCATAAGGTTTGCAAACTCCTACGCGTGCAGGTCTAAACCCGTGTATCATCTTTCACGGGTCGAGTTATATATCTTATGGACGTATCATAGAAGAGTGACATTTGGGTGTAGACAAAACGTTCTCGAGTTCCTGACGCAATGCGTGCTATAGGCAATTCTGCTAAATTAAAAGTAATTATGTAAAATTACAACAATTACAAACTTCAACTACAGACTTTAATGACACAGTTCTTTTTACTAGATCACAAAATAATAGATTTGCTAGCTAATAATGTTAGACTTCTGGTATATACGATGGCAAAATGTGGGTAGTTGAGATTCTAATGAGATACTATTATTACGTAATAAATTGGCAGAATTGAGATAGGACTAGCCTATTATTAATCTTTACAGATGCTGTCGCTCAGAGAACGGAGCCATCACACAGTACAGCACAAGAAGAAAACTCCAATGAATAGACCTGAAGTCAGATTAGGTATTATAAAAATACATTAGGTAAAATCTAGTGTTTTAATCAATTAACTACAATGTAGATTCCTCTATGACATGTTTTTCGTAACTGGCCTTGCGGAATTTATTTTATAGTTAGTTGATTTGCAACATTTAATGGAAGACTGAAATGAGAATGCCGTATGCGTGACTTATTAGGGCGGGTTATGAAGATGAGTCGAGACAAATGAGTGGAATGTAATTTAGAAAATAAGGGTTTAGGAAGTAAAATCGCTTCATTTTGGGTATTTAAAAAAAAAAGTATTTTTACTGTCCTCATCATTTTATACTTTTTCATGATTATTTAATGATGAAAATTGATTTAATCTCTTAAGTACCTCAAGAGATAGACTATAATCTGCTGTTACCTATTAGTTAAGAACATCCTTATTTTACTTATAAATGCAGAAAATTAAAAGTTGAATGCTGAGTCTTCGATTTTATGGCATTATTGCACTAAATTATTTTAATGGTTGTATTTTTAGAATTACTGAATTCATTTTAATTTATTTGTGTTGATGTTTTATTTCTAACAAGTTAATTGTAATATTAATTTGCAACAATAAATAAAAATCAATAATTTTCATTTTATATACTAATGTATAATACATATATTCATACAGTTTAACGGTTTAATTTGTTAATAAGGTACAAATTCTAAAAGTTCCTATTAAATATTTATGAACTGAATAAATTTGCTCTTAAACATTCGCAGCATCATGACAATAATTCTGTTATCAGTATGTACGTATATACTGTGGGATCAGTCGTCAAAAGAAAAAAATAACGCTTTTAGAATAGATAAAACATATCTCATATATGTAAGGGCAGGTTCATATCTGAAGATCGTATCAGATCGGTCGCGGAAACGCGAGAACTGACAAACACATGACATTCAACCTTTCACACTCGACGCATATAATAATATTGACTCGATCGACTTTTGTGAGACGCTCGACCAATTTTTCGGAAGATTTGCACCAACCCTAATCCATGTAGTTTTTGTCACAAAGTTATATGTATGTAAAACGTGTTGGATTTGTTAACCACACAGAAGTATACTTGCCAGTGTAACTGCTGCATGTTTCTATGGGCTAGTTAAACTGTATTGAATATGAGGAAAGACTGAATTAATAATGATCACGTTGTAACGGTGGCAAAACACAATTGTTTAATGTAAATATTGTGTAAAATATCATGGAATTGAAGAAAAATATAATTTATTTTTAAAACATTGTTTTATTTTCATTTAATAACATTAATTTCTCTTATAAAAAAAATAAAATAAAATTTGCCGTTGTGACAAACGGTAGTTTTAATCGGTGGTTTACTCTTAATATTTGTACTTGTCCACATTTAAGGTAACATTGAAATAATTCTCCATAGAGAATACAGTCACATTTCTCATAATTTTGGTGAGAATTGAGATTAGGTAACCGAGTCGATTATCTTGGTACCTAATGGAAATTCTTACAAGTTTTTGTTTAAAATATTTTTATGAATGGAAATAATATTGCCATTATCGACTCAATTACTCAAACTCAACAGTAATTATTGCTGAAGACTTAAACATTAAATATTCTAGCATGAAGACTTTTATAGCACTTGTCTATCTACAAAATTGTAATCATAAATCAACAAATAATAATTATTAAATAACAATTGAACATCTTATATATCTAATAAAAAGTAGTTAATGTCATTTTGTTATAGTAGCTCCGATAAAACGGTAAACAAGAATTTGTCACCATTTATTTGTGCTACAAATACTTGTCACATGGGTCAGTTGGGAGGTATCGTGTAATATAAAAATTATATATATTTGGCAATTTAAATAAATATACAATATTTAGCAATTTCCAGATGCAATGTTGGTTGTCAACATGTTTTTATTGGCGGATGAATAAATAATATGGTCACTTTATTCAATTTTTTAATGACAAGGGAGAACGATCTTCACAAATTGTTACACCAAACTTCAAGTCTGTAACTTTCATTTTGGACGCTCCTAATTAACACATTCTTAATAACATCCATTAAAATACGTCATACAATTCAATGGCACTTGTTTTAAAACCAGCTGTACATGAGAATGCATAACATTTAAAAAAATCTTAGAAAATTTGTAATCAAACATTTCTTCTTATAAAAATAATAACCTTAAAAATCTATTTATCACAATGGTTCACATAATGAGATTGATTCTTAAAGTTAGAAGACAAATAAAAATGATTAATTTATTACTCTTGTGAGCAAACACTGTTAGTAGCAGAACTAGTATCATCAGTTTTGTTTTCATCTCCAGAGTTAAGAGCTATCTTTAGTTTTTTTGGAAAGGGCTCACATGAATTGTAGCTATCACTGAGAGCGCGTTTTCCTGTTGCAACCAGCCGTATTACTGTTACATTGTCAGCATTCATATTTTCTTCATCTGATGCAGAGGTTAGGGATAGATGATTGAAATTTTTATTTTGTACTGCAAGAGACAATATTTTTTCAACTCTTATTATAATATCATGATCCTGAAATGAAATATATTTTCTTAAATAAGTGTGTCAAAGTCAACAATTTTTTCGAATTGGAGGATGAAGCTATTAGTCCAGTCTCTATTTTCCCAGTAGTATGCAATGAATGTTATGTCAATTGAGAAAAAAAAAGATCTTATTTATTGCCGCAGCTCGGTATAATTATGCAAGCGTAATTTAATCCTTTGGGAATGGAGAAATTTTTAAAAAAAATTGCAATCGGTATATTTCTTGATTACCTGCATCCATGCATGATTTAGGATTTGGTCAAGAGTGATCCGCCTTTCAACTTGCACAGTCAACATTCTCTTCATAAGCAGTTTGGCCTGCAAACTTATGCCCTTCCAATGAGACGGTGAATACTTGTATTGTCCACTCAGAATTTGTTCTCTTAATGTCATTTCTTTGTACTCATTTGAAAATGGCAAATATCCCACTAAGCTATAACAATTTGAAATCAATAATAGATATATACTATTTGTTGCTTTAAAATAATTTCTAGAAAAGAGTAACCAAGTCGACAATAACTGCATCAAACACTCTGCTAGCTTGCTTGCAAATCAATTATATGAACTGTTGGGAATGTACATTCAAGAAGCAAGTATTATTAAGTTCAGCACAGCTTGACTTTTTTAATTAGTATACATGTCTTTAAATTAAGATTTTAAGGTAATAAAGTTTCCTATTCATAATAGCATATTGAGATTGGGCAGATACATACCATACAAATAAAATCACACCAAGACTCCATACATCAACTTCGTGGCCATAGCAGCGTTGTCCATTAGCTCTTAGAACTTCAGGAGCTAAGTACAGTGGTGTCCCACACATAGTTTTCATAAAACTGTCCTCACCAACAAATTTGCTCAATCCAAAGTCAGTTATTTTTACTATGGTGTCATCCTGTTTACTCTCCAATAGCACATTCTCAGGCTGAAATTAATAAATAAAAACAATATGAAGAATATTTTAAGTGCTAAATAATGCACTTGAAATATTTTAAATAAAATACTATTCTAGCCACCTTTTCATTTTGTGACTAATTATTAATAGTTAATATATTGTAGCATTAAAAGGTTAATACTTATAGAAAAAATATGATTTCTTTACTACATTTTTTTAATTACATATTACTATGGTATAATCATATTATTATTATAAATGTGAGTTTTTTTTTAATGTTCAATCACGCCAAAACTACTGAATGGATTTTTATGAAATTTGGTATATAAATAGGGTATTAGCTGACTTAGATAATAGGATACTTTTTATCACACAAAACATTTCCCACCACAAGGGCGAAGCCGCTGGCGAAACCTAGTGTTAAAATAAAATGTTTTCATTTATTATATATAATAACTTACTTTAAGGTCTCTGTGAGTGATGCCTTGAGAGTGTAAATATTTGACAGCAAGAACCATTTGTCTGAATAGGAATCTGGTGAGCTGTTCCGTCAAGTGTCCATTTTTAGTAATCCTATCAAAAAGTTCTCCACCTTGCATCAATTCGAGGACAATGTAAACAGCATTATTTGTGTCAAATACTTCTTCAGTTGAAATAATACATGGCTGTGAATATAATTAAGTAATTTATGTCTTAACTAAGATTGTGTAGATAAAAATGAAAATAAATGTAAGTAAAATATAAATTTCAGTGAAAATTAAGATAACATATTGTTGGAAGTATAATGTGATAGAGTACAAACATAGAGTAAGCAAATTAAAGCAAACAATACTCAGACATTATAAATATATTAAATAAAAAAATAAGCATATATATTGTTGTACCATAGTATCAAAGTGACAATACCTCCTATACCTAGCGAGGGTGTTCATAGAAGACATAAATTATAAACTTATTATTGTAAATATATTTTTAAAGATTTTTAATAAACAATAAAAACGAAATTTCACATAGAAAATGTTAGGAGAAATTCTTACTTAGTCAGTGATAAATATAATAAGTACAAATTACTTACATGATTTAGAGATTTCATTATATTGATTTCATTAATTATCTTAATTGGATCAGTTAAATTATTGAGCTGTCCATTAGTTAATCTACTTTTTTTTATAATTTTAATGGCATGCTTTGTACATTTTTCCTGAAAAAAAAGCATTAAATTCAAATTGTTTATTTGGAATTAAGAAATGATTATGCATTGAAGATTAATAAAAACCTGTTACTCACTTTATTATACACTAATTTCACTATACCACAGGCTCCTTGGCCAAGGGTTCTTGAAATATAATATTTGTTTGAAATTGCTTTTGGCACTTGGTCTTGCTCATTCTTCAAAAGATCTTTAAATATAAAAACTGGAAGATATAAAAAGATATAAAACTTTGATGCCAAGTAAATAACATAAATAATATCATATCAACAAACTTACTTTTGACAAGAGGATGTGTGATAGCAATTTCATCATTATCATCTAAAACTTGGTTATTGCCTTTTCCAATTTTATTTCCATTGATAAAAGTGCCATTATATGATAAATCTGTTATAATAGCTGGATTTAGTGGTTCTCTGTATATAAAACAATATATTATATACTTATATAGCAATAAAGTCACTGAATTCTTAAACCTAAAGTTAATATATTGTTTTCTTGATTTTTTGATTGTTTTCTAGACAGTAACAAATTACATACAATTTAAAAATACTCACTGTAAATCTCTTTTGATGATGAAATGCTGCTTACTTACATTCTTAATTATATTTTCTTTGATCATACCCTTTTTTAAGACATAAGTGCAGCTAAGGGCTCTTCCAAGGGTGAATTCAGGTTGAATTAAGTCTGAAAAAAAAGTATAATGTTAGTGGTTGATATTAGACGTTCTCTGCTGTGAGGGATTGTTCCATCTCACGTGGAACAGTTTCATTTGGAATACAAGGATAAAATTATTATAAAATAATACTTAAAAAAACGATAAATTTATTTTAAAATACCATAATACTCCTGATGATTTTTATTAATCCAACAATGTTTGCCACTCGAGGTTATTTTTGTAGGGTACAGTCTACCCCATATGGTAGGTATAAAGGCTGGGGTATTGTTTTGACTCCAATCAATTTGTGAATTTTGAGTCTGTGTTTGCGTATTTTCTGTAAGAGGCAGTAATTCATCTCCCATTTTTATGAATCACTTGAGTTTTACTAAAGAAGGTAGGCTGGTTTCTAATCTGTAATGGAAAGGCTTGGCGGTTGAACGGCGGAACTCTGTCTCAATGAAATCTAAATAATTTTAACCCATTTTATAAATTATGTAAGCACAGATAATAAGTTTTTAATGAAATGAATATTCTAGGGGGACCATCGATTTAACAAAACAAACTTATTTGCCGGCTAAATTAACAACAAAATAAATAACACGATAACACGACACCGTGAGTAAAGTAACGAGTAAGGCAAAGAGCAGATTAAGGGAGTAGGGATTCCGTTCTCATTCGATATTATCGAAAATTGAATCGCGTTACCAAATCCTAAGTTATTGTAATAAATAATTTGATGTTTTATTGAAATATTTTTCGTTCTTCTTGTATGGAATTAGGAGAATCAATCGACTTTTTGACAAATCAATCTTCCCTCATCGATTTATTTGAAACGATTTAAGGCGACTTACAATATCGATTTGCTATAAATCGGAATTCGGATAGTTTACTAACGTGGATTATTTTTTTCTTTATGCAGTGAAGCAAACGGAAAAGAAAAAGATAATCGCAGCTTAGTCGCAGCTGGTGTTATCCAACAGAAAAATAATAAAAAAAATATCCAAATTTGCTTTCAATTACCAAATTTCTTGTTTCCTGCGTGCGAGGGACATCGCTGAGTTTTAGTGGGTATACCATTGTTCTTTAACTAGCCCTTTGAGGCTGGTCCGCAGGGGAGAGTGCCACATAACCCGTGGAACTCGCGCAGCTTGAAACGGATATGTGTAACGCATTTCTCAGCGACAAAAAAAGGTTTGTTTAAGTTATAATTTTCTTAGAAAAAAAAATCCGAGTTTCTACGTTGCATGTTACAGATATGGGCTTTCTTATTCTGCAATTTTGTTTTTTCTAACGTAAAAATTCCATTGCCCTATCTGCGCTGTAGATTGGTAGGGTAGGAGTTTTCATGGTTCTTTTTTAGCAAAGTATGCCTATTTACATTCAAAAATAAAAATGTTTAATATGTATGTAAACATTTTTATGATGTCGCTGGCGAAAGCTAGTATTATATACAAATTACTAGCTTTCGCCAGCGGCTTCGTCCGCGTTGTCCCTATTGAAATGTTTAGTGGGATAAAATGTATCCTATTATCTAGGTCAGCTAATACCCTATCTGTATACCAAATTTCATCATAATCCGTTCAGTAGTTTCGGCGTGATTGACGGACAAACATCCAAACAATGAAAATTTCACATTTATAATATTGATAGGATACATATAATATATCTAACCATACATTGTGGCGTTCGACCCTCTCTGTATACCCCACAAGGGATACGGCGTGACGGTATAGATAGTTCAAGTCTTTATGGATCACTAACGATTTTCCCAGTTACACAATCAACGAAGCCTTAGATTGGTGATTGAATAAAAATATGAAAAATCTCATCTCATTGGAAGTTTAAACTTTAAACCGTAACTTTTAATGAGCGTCCAACAATTTATGAAAATCACGTGATCTCACACGAGGCTCTCACCACGAAATCAAATGTTACGAATGAATATATAGTATTGTAGTTATACGGGTGTCAAACTGAAAGTTCTTGGAAAATAAAAAACTGAACAAAGTAGCATGATATTTTTTTTAAATAATGGTTATTTGCGTTAATACAACGCTGCATCCATTGAGACCACTGAAAAAAGTACTTTGCCCACACGTCCTTAGGGGTCTCATCTACGACCTTTTAAAATGCTTTTATTTTCGGCAATAAATAAAAATAGTATGGTGCGACACGGCGGTTATTAAAATAATTCCACGTCTGACGTAATATAATATATATATTGAACACCTGAACATCCGTCTGTCTTCTGTCTCTGAGCATCCGTCGTAAATAGTTTTTCAAAAGCAGTAAATTCAAAGTTTGCCTACATTACACGATAGATAGATAAGGCATAAATAATGAAGGCAATTAACTACAACTTAGATGATTCTTTATAAGAATTTAATACTATAGAATTTTTTTTTTTTATGATATACCTATATGTTACGCTTAAAGATAGAAATCGCTCATTGAACGAAAAAATAGTTCATAACGTCACAGTAAAATAACCACATAGCGAAATCCGTGTTATGGCTGTCATGCTATTATTTTGTGTGTAATATTACAAATATTACAAATTTTAAATATACAAAAAAGTTTGTAGTGTAAAAACAACAGTCGCAAAAAGTACCATCGAACTGCCACTAACGTCTTTTTATTTAGTAAGGTTATTGTAGGGACACTAATTTAGATAAAACTTCATTTATTTTGTTTGTAATTTTAATGAAGATATGGAATACGCATTTTATTTTTAATGCTACTTTGACACTCACGTAAATCATAGTGTATAATTGCTTATGTATATAAAAGGACGTTTAGTTTCAAATAACAAACGGGCCTTCGTAAGATAGGATATTAATTAGTAAGGTGATGTTATGCTATAGATATAAACCATCCAAGCTGAAGTGTAATGAGTTTCGAAGTTGGTTATTTGATATTTTCTATATCCAAGGCTATGGAGAGTATTTTGTTTAACTGAGATGAAACCAAATTAAAAATTATGTAAGTACGATAATCATATTTATTAACTGATTATCAAATCAGTTTAAAGGGATTACAATTATTTGTCTTCTTTATATATTTTTGGAAATTAGACATTCACACGTAGTTAGTAATTTTTATATAAACTCCCAAATTATAGTGAGGACTCTCTTATTCACCTTATGTCGGACACGTCGTATAGAAAGGAGAGAACCTTGTTGACTTTGGCCATATGAATGCAAACATTAAAGTTTGGTTATTGTATATCTATGGTTTGGGTAACAGCCAAAAGGATGAAGAGAATATTATATCATTTCAACGAAATTACATAGATACTTGTCAGATTGATAATCTCCTTTTGTGATGTTTATTAGTTCAATAGTGTTACATATGTACATACTTCTAATTCACGAAGGTATGAAACAAAACCCAATTTTAAGCATGCAGACTTAATAAATTCAGATGTAATAATGAAGACTTAGAACGACAAAAGTTCGATTGTAACGAGAAGTAATATGTTGGCCAGACGGTTTGCCTATTGTTCAAGCCAGGTTAAAGTTACTCTCTTCAATGCATATTGTCAAGCTTTATACACAAGCTCACTTTGGAGCGACTATACGAAAAGTGCTTTCAACACTCTTCGTGTACAATACAACATAACAACTCGTTTAGTGCATTAATGGGCCGTGGACACCTCCACGGTAAACCCACCCAGCGCTGCACCTAGCGCTGCACCCAGCGCTACTGAAATGTATGCTGAAAATAATGTTCATTGCCTAAACGATTATATCAGAAATCTAAAATATTCATTTCATAAAAGAATATCTTCCTCTAAAAATAAAGCTGTAATGACTGTATATCGTATAATTTATATATTTTAGAAATGTGTTTTTGAATGATGAGAAATGTCAGTAAATATTATTATTAATTTAATATTACATATAATATAATGTAATTAGTGACAAATTAATTAATATTAATTCAGTGAAATTATATTTAGATTAAGTTTTAATTATAATTTGACAAGTTATACACGATGTAATGTTTTATATTGGATATCCTGAAATAAACTGTTATTATTATCTATACTATAATAAAAACGTAACCGATCGATGTCTGTACATTGAAGATATATGAAAAAACTGCTATAAGGGACATTTACAAGCGTATTAGAACACAAAACAAGGATTTTTACTTTTTTTGTCTGTTCGTCGGTTTGTCTGTGCGTTTGTGCACGATAATCTCAGAAACGGCTGAACGGATTTAAATGCAGTTTTCTCTATTATATTGCGGCATTCTTCCGTTAATATTTAGAGTAAGATTTATTTTAATCGGTTCACAAATATGAAAGTTATGTCAATTTGAAGTGACGTGTTCGCCAAAATCGCTATGAAATATTAACTGTATTATTAAACTTTCGTCTTTGATATATTGATCATCATCGTTAACTCTTTGACAGCCAAACTGCAGGGCCTCAGGCCTTTGTTTAATAATTTTTGGTCACCCATCCCGTGAACAACTCTTGCGAAAATTGCTTAGCAATCTTGCGCAGCGGCGCTTATCCATAGCGTCACCGAGCTACTAATTAATATTGTCTATAAAATGATAGTTTGTGTGATGAAAAATAAAAAAATAAGATTCCAAAATTTGAATCTCCAAAGTAAGATGACCTCATTTATAAATGGCCAATAATGTTAAATAGGGTTCAGCTTATAATGGACGTGTGGCATACGATCACACGAGTAGGAGAACAAGCGAAAAGAACCTTCCGATGATGCAATTAAGCATCGAGTAGTTTACAGTGAACGCATTTTTTTATCAGATTAGGTTCACGTCGTCGTTGGGGCTAGCGGAGGTGGTTGGCAGCCTCTGCATTGCACGGTTTCGTCTGTCTGGGAGATGCACTCGATTTACCCGAGTCTCTCCAATTTTCCATCTGCAAGGGGACCAAATACATGAGTGTTCTGGTTACGCGGCCATAGGTTGCCGGGTTTCATCTCCCATGAGACGGTGTAACATACAGGTTTTGGTGGGTAAGCCTCTGGGAACACACTGGGCAGCTCACTATCGGGTTCACGGAGGAAAATCACACTCACCCCCTGTTGCTTGCCACGTAGCAGAGACAATGTCAGAAGCTTTCACACGTCGTTAAAAAAGTTAGATTCACGTAAACTGAAGTTTTTTTTCTCTTATTACTATTTTTTATGTTAATACTGTTTTTGATTTTATTTAACATACAAATTTGCTGTAGATACGTACTTCAAAATTGGTATATTCAGTCTTCGCCGGAAACAATGGTTGATTCATTGGTCACAACACATATAATGTTACGCGAGTCTGAGGATCGGTTCAGAGTAGCTCGGTGGCATAGTAAATAAACGCCATGGCTTGCGATTGTAGTTGTTAAGCAACTTTCGCAAAGGTCGATCACAGGATGGGTGACCAAACAAATATTATCTTAAACAACTCCAAGTTTTGGAATGCCTATAAAGCGATGTTGTATTTGCAGTCGTTAATATCCTCCAATTCGCGTTGGGCCAGCATGGAGGGTCGTGGCCCATCCTCCTTAATCCATAAGGCTCCTGCAGTTGGTGAGATAAAAGGGTTGATGATGATGATGATGAGGGCCGTTCAAATATGACGGAAGCTCAGTTAAGCACCTCTCGCAAGTATGTGTTAGTATGATTTCCTTCGAGTGTGGAAAGTGGATATTAAAATATGTATATATTTTTTTATATCAATAAATAAAACTCAACGTATCTTCCGTCGGACATGTACCGATCGACTTTTATTGACAAAGAAAGAGATCGGACGGAAAGCGCTTGGCCTCGGGAGACACCTTGAAAACGCGAAGCGTATAACTACCCATCGCCAGGCTCATGCACTATAAACTTAAATCTGAAGCATTTAACGTCAGGAACAATCTCTTGAGCTCTCGGAGAACTCATACAACAAGCGTTTGATCTCAGAAAACTTCTTAAGATCACATAGCGCATCTAACAGCTGATCGTAACATACATGCAGTATAGTATGAGTATGAAACTTCCTTTGAAAGAGAAATGCGCTTGGCTCAAAAGAGCTCGCAGTTTGCACAATAGAGATCGAGAAAGTAGTTTTGATTATCGCCAACCCGTGTTGCCTTCATACTCCACAGGCGTATTGCAGATAAGTTTTCACAAGGTATAATGCTATAATGCTACTAAACTAGCTGTTTTCCTGCGACTTTGCCGCAAAATTATAGCCTATGACATCCGTGATGTAGCTTCCCGTAGGTAGAATCGCTCTGAAACCATCGGTCCAGTAGTTTTGGGGCATTTTCGATGAAAACAAACAAACAACCGAATCTTTCCTCTTTATAATATTAGTATAGCTTAGGTATAAGAGGTCGGATGGCGTAGTGGGTTAGCGCATTCGGTTTTAACAAGGACATACATGAATTCTTATTTTACATAATTAAGTAAAAACGATAAACTCATCGCTAGCAAGCGATTTCTTCCAGGTAACCTAGCATTACATGGATATATCGTATAATAAATAGCCGATTGTGCATACAACTAGACAAATAATAATAATTAAAAAAGATCAAAAACAAAAGGACAGTTTCAAGGTACGAATAAAATTCTCAGACACAAAAGACAACCAGAGTGCGAGAAACGAGAAAAAAGATAGAAAAATAACATTCGTAAGGATAGGATGGGTGACCAAAACATTATTATCTTGAGCACTGTGCACAACACTGGCATAATGCACGTTAAGCTGTTAGTCCTGGCATCATCAGCAACGTTAACACCCACCGATCCGCATTGAGCCCGCATAGTGGGTTATGGCCCATTGATTTTATTCGATTCTACTCCATTCATAGGAATAAAAGAATTCTTCCAAAATACTTCCCACGCAGACGAAGTTGCGGGCACAGCTAGTTATTAATAATATTAGATTCCTATTTAATTTCGAGAATTATTTCAATTTAAACTCCATTGTGTTCAAATTCCTCTTGACTTTAACACTGAATGTGTCGTTTCTGTAGATTATACAGCAGATAATTGCCAAAAAGCTATTTGATGTGTGAAATGCTATTTTAGGGCTTCTAGGACAGGTCAATTCGATTTAAATGTACCGTTTACTCAAATAATGAGTAATATAAATTAAGCGTCCTTTTCAGTCCTTGCTTATGTTCCCAAGGAGTTTTTAATCGAGTTTCTTAACTCCACGTTCAGGTGTTAAACTTTATTTGGTATTTATTCCGAACGAGTGAGTTTTAAGGTCTGAATGTGATGCCCGCTTATTAGAATAAATAAAATATTCGTTTATTTTGTGATATAATATGATATCTTTTTCCACTGATATATTTTTCCACATTTATTATGTTTAAGTCACTTCTGACAAACGCACGAAGTTGGTTTATAGTTTAGTACCTACATTTAATAGAATTACTATTGAATGACGGTTTCACCTTTCGTTTATATTTCCAAAAATTATGCTAAATGTTATAAAATTACCTGACAGACAAACGAGTGATCCTATAATTTATAGGACCAATATAAAAAGTAAAAAAAAAATGTTTTAAGATACGGAGTCCATATCCATAAATGTTTTAAAACAATAAAAACGTAAATTTAAGAGAAATTTTAGCAGACTTAAGTTATATTAAATTTATTTATTTAATAATTTAGACACATAAAGACATGATAACTAGTAGATCGGGGACGTGGGTTGCATATAACAGGTCGTTATAATATTCCACTTCAAGAAAATCGTATTAGCGCTAATGCACGCGTCTAGCAACAGTTGAATGCTAATAAATCCTGCTGAGATTGTATTTCACAAGATGTTATTAATTTTAGAGAAAGTTTTTTTTTTTGCATTCTATAATTCTCGAGATTATAAGAAAAATGTAAAATTATTTTCACATACGGAATACAGACACAGCTACATTATACAGACATAGATTATAATTAACGCGGGCGATATCGCGGGGAACTTATATATGTTAAGCTTTTCCTGTCTCTTTATTTAATTACTTCATTCGGAAAATTTACAGCTCTAATAGGTACATGGAATAATTATGAAGTAAGAACATTATTAGCCATTTACAAGTCTTCATTAATGCAAACTTTATTGACAGTTAGTCATACAAACATTTTGATGAAAGGACGAGGCGGACCTCTTGTTTTTTTTTTCTCTAAAAAATTAATCAATTGGTGCGCAGCACTGTAAGGTTTTTGTGAGACTTGTTGTAGTTTTTATATTTGAATATAGGTACCGGTGGTACACATATTCAAATTAGTAACTCTAACTGACTGTGGAAGATAAAAGATTCACAGTTAATAATTTTTGAGCAAGTCCGTCAATTTCGATAAACTAGCTTTTTTAATTAAATCACCTTCTTTTATACGGAAGTATTTGAAAATAGAGTTTTTTGATTATAGCTATGGAAACTCCATGTGTTGTGAAAAGAAAATAACAGCAAAGGTACTTACAATCATCCAAACCTAACATTGCGTAAGTATAGAAAATATTGTTTTCTATATTCACCGGGCCAGTAATTGAACCTGAAACGCTAAACATGTGAGAGGCTGGAAAAGACGGCTGTGAAATGTTCTTCGTTACGGATGCCGGTATTTTTATTTTCTGTAAGACCAAACGCTAAAAAACTATTAATTTTTTTGTATTGGTACGTTTTAAGTAGAAAGTTCTATGTTTGAAATGTGGATATGAATAATCTGAAAATGGGTTAATGAAATTAAATTTATAGACAAACAATTTATCTTTATTCATTGACCATTTCTGTTAATTACTTATTTTCTTAAATAATTCTGAAATAACACTTATGTTCTACAATGATAATTAATACGGAGGTAATATAGTAATAATAATGTAGGTAGTTATTTATACTTATCTAATACATATAATATGTATAGTAAATATTGAAATCACACATTTATTTATAAATATAGATAGATTACTTACACAAGTTTATTAAGCAAGCCTTTAATAATGAAGTTGATAGATTGAACTCAATTTTATAAGACAAAGAAAAATAATGAAGTACAATGAAAAATATATAGGTTAATTGAAGCGTTAATATCTGATTTCGTAGAATATCCACCTTATAAAAGAAACAAATTATGCCAAATTTTAGATTAAAAAGATATTGCTGTGATATTTATACTTATAGGTAGCTAGTAAATTAATAAACAAGTCTTTTATTTAATTAAGTTAATTAATTCCATATTTTTATTCTTCATGTAAATTATATAAACTCTGTGAATATTTATGTTATCATAGAGTTTAATAGGTAAGATAAAAAAGTAACGAAACTATGTTAATGGTGTTATTTACAATTGATATACAATATTTAAATAACCGTTTCTCTGAAAACAAAAGATAAATTTTAAGGAAATTTTTAAATGCTAATGTTGAAAGAACAACAAAACATTCTAATGTACTTCGAAAAAGTAGACACTTACATTAATATAATTTTCCAGTAACTTTTTTGAGTTTACAAAACTCACTTCGAAATTCAAATGATTCGTTCCCAAATATTTTAATTTAATTTCTATTTATTATACATTAGAATGTTCTTGATTCATCTATAGAGGCGGACGTTCGGAATATGCTAGGTGGTCATGGACGACGGTCGTGTCGATGGCGTGGAGTGTTCACTTGCGGAAGCATGAGATTGGGTTGAAGTAGCACTGGCGGAAGCGGACTTGTCTCTTGTCTGCGCGCCACGGTCGCGCCAGCCGACCCTCTACTGACCGCAGACCCCAGCGAGGCTCGCTCTGAGGCCACGAGCGGCTCACGCGGTTCATTCTGTCATAATTAAGCATATTTAATAAGGAATATTGCAAGTGGAACTCATAGGCGCAGTGGTAAGCACAATTGGTCAGAAATATGGGGGTACAGCAACGGGGAAAATGTTTTGTCTCAGTACATAAATGTTTGCGGTAGAGCTATTCTATTTCTATCTCTCGGTAGTCCAGTTTAACTTAAGAAGGATCAGCAACTTTCGCAAGAAAGAACCGGTCATAGGATGGACCACCATAAATTATACTAGATATTACTCAAGCTCTTCCGTGCTCCGGACGGCACGTTGCAGTCGCTAATGTTCATCACCCCATACTGGCCCCGCGTGGACAATAATTTTATAAGGGATAACCCGCATTTTTTGTTCCATTAATATAGAAAGCTTGTGCCATTGCGGTTAAGACATTAATAAGCTGACGATGGCCAACAGACATTATTTATATACACCTGTGGAATTCATTCGTTAGAGTGACACTATAGACAGTGCCGGATTAAGACTATTCATTGCAATCCTCATTATCTCTACAACCCCTCTCCAGGAATAACTATGTGGAAGAGAAAACTATATAGATGTTAAAAAATTACATATGTAATACAAGACAGACCATTAGGTACCTGTCTAAGGATATGACATGAACGTCAAAACATACACGTCAGAGTACGAAAGTCACAAATCTAAAACCTGACTAATGTGCTAGCAATTCTTTGGTGCTGTTTCTGGTGCTTCTTAATAAGTGATCCCCTAAACTATTGTTTATTTTGTTTATGGAATTAGGCATTGGCTATAGAAAAGTGCAGAAAAACTAACTGCAGTTCGTGGACCAAAAAAAAACTAAGAGCCATTTTAGCGAATCCAGAAGATACTACTGTAACGTCTGTGAACATTACTATATGTAGGTTTACTCTCTGGACGATTTATGGTCAATGCTGGCCGCTAATATTTTGAATTATTACTTTTTCTGATTTCGCGTGCTCGTGTTTTGCTGGCTGATAAACGTTTTCTGACAGAGACCGACATAGTAGAGTCAGTATCTTTGAATTTACTTTGTGAATTGATTTGATGCATATTATTTGCTAGTAAAATCGTAAGTTTGAAAAATTACACCTAAAATTTGATTGAGCAACCCTGAGATATTTCTGATCCACCATTAGACTGAAAATAAAGTAGCGATTTTGTTGCACAATCTAGACTTAATTTATTATTTTATCAATACTTAAAATAAATAATAGAAGGCAAAAAGAGTATGATTATATTTCATTGATAACACGTCATCATCATCATAACCAGCTTATTAATGTCCTTTTGCTGGGCCTTAGGCCTTCCCTGTGGATGGAATCAAACCGATTGGGGAGAATGGGCATGACCCACTCAGGCCCGTCACACGTGGCCAATGTTAGTACATACACAAAAGTAACTATACTACGGACTTAAATTAAGTCTCAAAATGACGTAGTTAATCTTAATATGTATAAGAGAAGACTCGTTTTTATTTTCCTTAGAAAGATATCTTTTATCACGTAGTAGACATTTCTATTTATATTTGAGGCAGCCCTGTGTCACTAAAAAATAGAGCCTTAATTAATCAGAATATTGCATAATAAAAATATCCAGACGGCGTTGTAGCTGCATGGTGAGTTACTGCGTGATACATATAATAAACGAGCAATCCGTACAAGTTAGTCGCGTTTGTACGTACATTGCATCGCATAAGTTAATTAGAGAACTAATTGCTTCATTATACGTTACCCAATTACTCTATGTCATTGTTCCTGTATATATTGAAAGTCGGGATAGTGGTTATGTTATTTATTGTGAATATCTTGAGTTATTACGAGACGAAATAAAAAATAGACGTTTTCATTTTTGTCACTTTTTACACTTGTGCCGTATAATAAAATTCATTGCCAGGGTTAGGGTTGAGCAATTAAAAAAAATATGGAACTTATATACTCAATTCTTCAGTATACATATTTAAGTTCGTGAATTATAGAAGGTCGTGTAATGTAAATAAATAAGTATGATAATTAAAAAAAAGCTTAGAAGACTTTGTTGTCAGACATATGAGTATCAAACGAAATAGTTTATTGTGAAGTTCTCAAATATATTATTCTTCATCATTTCAAGATACGCAGTTTTAAGGTTATTCACAATAATAGGCAAGTTAGACAATGCCCCTGAATTCTGAATCTACTGAGCCTAAGATTTTGAGAAAAAAAACCAGAAATTAGATAATTTCTTGTGATAACAGAGATATCTATTAGACGGCTATGGCCTTTAAAAATTCGTATTCAGTCGAGACTTACGCGTTTGGAATTACATTGTAATAAATTATAGCAAATTACTCTATGTAAGAAGATCATTATTATGAAATTCGATAATTTTTATAGTAATTATTTTCTCTTCATTAGATTTTAACTAAAAACGACAATTTTTATGTGATGTGTTTTAAAGTTTTAGAGGCTAGGATTTAATTCAAGATGGAAAAGAAGAAGAAGCCCTTATCTATCTTGACAGTAAACATGCTTTGTTATAATATCCAAGAAATACTATCACATTCAAACTTCAACCAACCTTTTTTTAATTTCATTAATTCTACTGATGGAGAAAGGCTTAACCGCCTTCGCCTGTACATAGAGTTCATCAGACAAACTACGAGTACTTTGTTTTAATAAATATAGTAAATCTTTTTGTATCATACACAATGCGGATTTATATAGTACACACATTAAATAAGTTAACAATAATTTAGAAATAAACAACGTAAATGCCGTGGCGATGTAAAAAAGCAAAAAGTCAGTGTTTCCTTTGATCAAGAATCAAAGCACCGGTGCTAAAAGCTTACCCATCTCTAGGTCTCACTGACACACTCGCATGCAACATTTCAAACATTGATATCGTTTTACATTATTTTTTATATAAAAATACTAAATGAAATTTTCAGTCCCATGTCATTATATGTTATAGTAATACATGTCATTCATATGTATACAACAGCAATTAAAATAAGACAAGATACCGTCTAGTGAAAATTGTACAAAATCAGAGGTCTATTTGAATAAGCTCTAAAATTACTGGACCGATTTTAACAATCTTTCGATTACAGGAATGTATATCATACACGGGTGACTAACACCGGGTTTCTTAATTGAGAATTTAATGTTTTGCACTTCTCAAATCATTCTTAAATGTCACTTAAATGTCATCTTAAATGTCACTTAAACAGGATTTCGTTTCTGATTTCAATTTTCTTATGATTAGTTGAGTATAAGGTTTTATTTATTACATATTGATTATTTTGTTTATTTATCTCTTACTGTTTAATAACTCCTCCGTGTATTGATCTGTTCTCTATTTTAATGACCACTACGGTTAAAGCTAGGTAGCTTGCAAAGTAGTTTGTTTATCGGAAACTGTTGCTAACAGTAGATGCCGGAGTCCACAACAAAGCGAGCAAGCGCGTACTAATTACAGGACCAGCCGGGCAACTGAATTAAAACTTACCAACTTGATCGTTATAAATTGATGTAGTACATATCTTTTGTCTATTTTATGGAGTTTATATTATGTATTTTATAAGATAAACTTCTGTAATTGAAAAGATTGCTATTTTAAATACATATCAGGAAGCGCATTAATAATTACTGAGGTCTAATAAGATTCAAAATGTCCTTTTTTATATTGCTATCAACAAAAGAACATCCGTAACTTTCTACTGAACAAGATCTTTGATATCTTTGTTAAGATATCAAGTAAGTAAGTAGGTATACTATTTCATATTTTACTACTTAATATTAGATATAAATGTGTATATCACTGTTTACATAAATATCTTTTTAGATATTATTTAGGCTTAAGTTTTATCACTTAAGGTAGATAAATAAGTCATTAAATAGATTATATTATTATATTTATTTATTATTCTTGGAAAACCAACAGCTAAACAAACATGATAAATTTCAGCATAAAAAACATTAAGCCAATTATAGGTTTCCACATATAGAAATAGCTAAGATCTAATCAATGAATTCGCACACAAGCTACACAATCAAATTTAAATGTAATCTATTTAATGACTATAACTTAAAATGAATCTACTATTTTACAGTGAAGTTTGTGTGTGTAAACTTTCGTATGAAATAAGGATATACTTTGTATTTTCCATTCTTCTTCTATTCTATGGAATTTTATTTTCCTTATACTGATTTATTATATCTTAAAGCGCACTATTCATTAAATGGAAAACTTTGAACGGTTTCAGCGCGTTTGTATTTGCTATTGTGACGTGTTTGGCGTTTTAACTTAATCAACTATTTTACATTATAACTTAGAAACTATAAAGATGTTACTATTCAAAATCATTTCATTTTAAAATCATTTATAATCTGGTCTAACAGACTGATAATACGTGTGTATTGTAGTTAGTTGTTAACTACGTTGTCTCCTGTTGCAGAGTTTCACCTGTTAACAATGGCACTCGGAGCTCTGAAACCAGATCTCTATTGTGCTACTTACAGACGATTATCACGACCTAGCTTTAAATTAGTTTGCAAAACTTGTAGTTTAAAGAGAACCGCTCCTAATAAGAGGGAAATGATTATAGATGTTAAAAATAAACAATGATTATTTATGAACTTGTTCTTAAGTATCTTTAGCATTTGTGTTATAAAAATCAAAGATTAGTCTTTGGCGGCTTTATAACCATTTCATTGTGAATATGACTCAGACAAAGATTAAGTCTTGAATTTGGTTACTGACAGAGTTTGTCAAGGTGTGATGTGAAAAACTTATGGACAATGGACTAGTTATATAGAACCTCATTTTAACATCAGGAAGTTGATGAACAAATGTCTAGTAAGGCAATACTATTAATGTTAGCGTAATTATGTAAAGTAGATGACCTTTATGACACAGTTCTTGTTACGAGATAATAAATATATCTGTCACCATTGATTTGTGAGGAACACATTGCCCTAGTAATATTGAAATTCAGCTTATAGTACAATAACAAAATGCAAGTAGTTGAGACAGAATTGAGATGCAATTATTTAGATCGAAGCAGAGATATATTTTTCTCGGTGACTTGGCCACAGATTCACGGTTCTCATCTCCTAGGAGAGCGTAGGGTTTTTAGTCAATAGGAGGAGAATTTCATGAAGCTTATTGCTCGTCAAGCGGCTCGGTATCCGTAACGTATTTTCCCTACAATAAAATACACGACTGCCAAAATCGAACTAAAATAAAAGGAACAAGTTGTATTATAGCTTGGCTAAACAAAATTCTCATTGCAGTCGAGGGACGCCTTAGATTATAAATGTTCCGAAGAAGAATTTAGTTTAGCCAAGCCATAATACAACTTCTTTCTTATATTTTTAATTCGATTTGCCAGTCGAGTTTTTTATTTTAAATATTTTTTTTTATTCCATTCAGTGACCAGGAAACGTATACTATATAAATCATCATAGCCCATTGGCTATGATGATTGAAATTTTTAAGTGATATTTCACTTGAGATGCATCATCTCAAGTGACATTTCACTTGAGATTATGTAACGTTTCTAATAGTACTCTGTTCATTAATACCCGTAAAGTCTTTCTAAAGTAAAGGTGGAAAAAAGAAGGTTACATACATAAATCGACGCTAAACAAAATATATTTCTTTTTTGGGGTAGTCTAGTAATAAAAAAATGCAGGAAGATATTTTGTATCCTCACCTTTCCTCAGCGTCAAGTTGTAGGAGCAGTTTCCGTAAGGCTGCTGTATCGATGGCATCCCATGTGCTAGGTATACCGAAGTCGCTCTCTGGACGCATTACAACTGAGTTTTCTGATTGTTCCTCTTCAGATTCCTGTCAATGTTTTGGAAGTTATTCGATTGAAAGTTTTGTGTTCCAGTGGTGGCAAATAAACCTGCTTGGATTGTGTCACAAACTTCTATTTACAGGGTGTTTTTAATATGAGACTGAAGAAAACTTTTGCCAATTTAGATTCATATAAGCGTCATTCTTGACTGTGAGGTGAAATAACAAAGTAATGTATAAAAAGGACTTAAAAATGTGTTAAATTTAAATTTTCTTATAAATACAGGTATTTTTTTTAACTAAATGGAAAAATAAGCGTTTTCAGAAAATTAAATAAAAATTTTTGTAACAAAACTTGATGACGTTCTGATGCCCTTGGGCGAGTATTGGTGGTTTCAAAGTAATGATATGATTGGCAATAAAAGTAACAAAATTTTATTCTTTGTAAGTATAGTTTGTTAAATCATGAATTAATTAGTATCTAGTTTGTCAAAACAACGCAATGATAGACTCACGTCTATCATATCCTATTATAATGTTGCCCGTGGATATTCGCAATATGTCGCCGTACACTTTCAACAAATAGCTATTTTCAAACTCTTTTCTCTTTTAACATAAAGCCGGCCTTATTATTTTTTCAATAGAACGTTAATACCATAGATTTCTTTTTTTTTGTTTTCTTCTTACTTTTAATATTACAATGCTGTGCTACTGTACCGTAAATAGCCATTAAAATGAAACTACAAACAAAAGAAACGTATTGTAGGGAGTAGGAGTGTGTTCTCATATTTTATATAATGAAAGAAAAGGCGCACTCATTACTTAAAGTGACTTCACAAGTAACAATAACATTTTCATCTTTTTTTCATATAATGACAAAGATATACTTTTAGTTAACTGCTTTTGAATATATTTTCGTTAATAAGGGATAAACAGAAAAGTTCTTCTGAATAATGAGCGGTGAGGGTGATGTCTAATTAATTGTCATTTTAATTAAGGGTACTTAACCCACTGACGAACATCCCTCCATCTTTATACACGAATTTTATTATATGAAAAGCTTTCGTACTCAATCTCTCACTTAAGTATTACTCTACCTGTCAAACGTAATTGTAATATCTGTTAATTAAAAATAAACAGATATTGACTTTCCGCTTGAAATTATAAATGTCTAAATTTAGTATTTATTTTAAACTAACACAAAAGTACTTTTTTTTTGTTCTTGGTCGCTGCTGTAATGAAGACAGTGTAAATTTTTCATTTCCAATTTTCGAAGAAAAATGTTTTAAATAGGGCTAAAGCTTCGGTTTCTTCCGACAATGGTGCCGTCATTTAGCGGATGTCCGTTTAAATCGCTGTAAAAAGTCGCGAAGAAACGTAAAATAACTAAATTGAATTATATTTGATAAAATGGATGAAAAGTTTGAAAAGATTGTGGAAAACATGGAATGGTTTTATCTTTATAGGCTAAAATCAATAATTTGTGGCCTAAACATGACTGCTGTATTGAAGCCTTTCTAAAAAGCTCGGTTTAAGTGATGAAACGATTAAACAAGTTCTCTAGGGAAAATCTAGCAACACTAGTTAAACGTCCGATCCGTAATGACAGGCATCATGCAAAAGTAGGTTAACATTGCTATCAGGCTATCGTAACTTTAGAGTAAAAAACATGCATTCTACGCGGACGACACAATGTCATAGAAAGCTGTCATGTCAGATTCTATAGTTGCGGTGCGGTATCATCGACTCCGGCCTCTTTGATTGTATTCGACGTATAAAAACTTTTTTTGTTATTGTTCTGAAATTATAAAGTTTGTATAAAGGTTTTACGGTTACTAATATTGTGGTTTTGTTAATCCCGCACATTTTAATAATCGTGAGATTATTAGAAAACTGTAAAAAAAAGGTTTGTAAGAAAATGTTATGGAACACAACAAACAATGGTCTATTAGATTTTCAATAACTTCAGATTTTGATCTCGATGTTTAAATGATAGCCTTGATATAAGCGAAGTCAAAATAGTTAATATTTTATCTTTTTCAATTCGACAGAATGCGTGAAAAATAAACATTTTTATACGAGTATTTAGTAGAGTTTGCTGATATATATATATCAACAGATATAAATCATAATATATACACATAATAAATATCATATATATGATATTATATATATATAGGACTTTCCTTATGTAAGTATATATACTATCCAAAGTAAGTAAATAATAAGTCGAGTATTCGCCTATAGGTTACTGGGAATCCTCACACAATCATATTTTTCCACTGCGATTGCGACTTTAAACGTTATACCATTAATCGCTAGCACATACGCTATAACTTTGAAAGGGATTTCGATGCATTTAAAAATTTTAAAAGTAGCCCACGGATCAGTAATTCCGAAAATTACCCAACACAAACAAACGAAGTTAGAAACTTTACATGTTTATTATATTAGTATAGATAACACAAATATTGTTGTTACCATTGGTGCGCAGAGAACTGCCACAAACAGCAGCGATAGGGTCGCCATCACCGCTACGGTGCTGGTCGTGAGGCTCGTCGTCTTCATTGTGACTGTAAAAAACATTGATATTAGCGCCCTCTTTACTTTGAGATGTAATGGTGTGATCTACAACTAGCTGTTTTACCGCAACTTCCTCCGAGTAAATTATAGCATATGTCATTCGTGTATAATGTAGCTCCCTTTAGTGAAAAAATTTTAATAATCAACCCTGCGATTCTGTAAAAATCCAGACCCGAATTCGAATTCACTCATGTGTCCGAATTCACGTCATTTAGTGTAAAAATTCTATTGATTCCATTTTTTTGTATAAAAATACAAAACGAAATTGATTGAATACACGTGTCTCAGATATTCTATTCCTATATCATTTCGAAACTCACTTCACTTATGCTACGAAACGTTATTACCAATTCAAGGTTGAGCGTATGCCTCTTTTTGAAGTCAATTCGGACACCTGAGAGAATTCGAATTCGGGTTTGGAGTTTTACAGAATCGCAGGGTAGGTCAGTATATCCGAAGTTTCATCCCTACAACCATACAAGAAACGTTAGAAACTTTAGGACTATGTTAATTATGTAGAAACATTTGTACAAATACGTAAACAACTTTGAATAGTTAACAGAGCCGAAGGAGACGGACGAAACGAATTTTCTTTACAATTAGCAAATTAAAGACAGGTGATATTAGAATTCTGACAATTCAGCGCGTACACGTTGAAGGTTGTTTTTGAGCCTTATAGTCCGTGCATTTTATATAACTTTAATTAGTTTGCTTTACTAAGAACCTAAGAATATAGACAGTAATCGGAACAGTCTAATCGCCACTGTGCTCGCGTGATGGGTTATAGTCTATTCTCTTTATTCGGTTCGATTTTGTCCTTATGAAAGGCCTGTGCTCCAGCATTGGGGACAGTGTTTATAAGCTATTTCTTTTATCAATATTAGTGTGATCAAGGTCACATGAGTAGCGACCTTAGGGACTAGCGACTCTATTAATGTCCTTCAGTAGTTTTCCGTCATTACGTACCTTCGTCGTGATTCGTTCTCTAACTAAATTACTATTCTCCGGAGAGAGAGATTTAACCAGTTATTCAACTTTCGGATGCAGAAAATTTTAAAAAGTCGAGCTTGTATGTGATTACAACGGATTACTGTTGAGTAATCCTATATAATAAATGAAAGGATAGAAAAATGTTGAATAACTGGTGCTTACATGTAAAGAAGTAAGTTTTCAAATTTTATTATCTGTCATACTTACGGTGAGTTGCATAAACGTCCATTAAGCTCTAATGAATGTCAAATTTGTAATGGTAATGTCGCTTTAAACTAATGACAATTTAATGGACGTTTATGAAACTGGTTGTTATACTGTTAACTAATAAAGTAGTAGATATTGTACAATCGACAGTTCGTCAGGTTACTATGAATTTTCAACTCGATTTATGTCATTAATGCAAAAATCTTTTAAAATTTATAATATTTGTACGAAACCTTTTTCTGACTCGATTTAATATGAAGAAATAATTTGATATTTTATACATTTTGATTGTTCAACGATTTTGAAGAATCATATTTTGTGAAGATCGTAATCTAAAAATATGAAAGTGAAAACTTAAACTTTATTGACTACTATGAAAGTGAAATAATTTTAAAATCGGTTCAGTAGTTTTGGAGCACAAACAATAATAATTTTCTACTCTATAATATCGATACGGATATTACTATTTCTTATTTTTCGTGTTCGAATATAGTGCTTGGTCACGGTACCCTTTTTGTCAAATGCCAACCCCCATTTTGACCGTTTTGGGGTAAATTTCCCATTTTTTTTTTATTTAGGCACTCACTTGCAGCAAACCTTATCAACAATGTACCAATTTATATAAAAATAACTTTACCACTATATGGTCAAGGCCGATATAGAGAAAACAACCTAGATGATGTATTACAAAAACCATTTTTTTATTCTCTCCAGAAAACACGCCCTGACAAGAACACTAACAAAAAAAAAATTAAAACAATAATCGCCAGTCAGCTATAGGTGTAAAAATTTAAAAATAAAAATGCTTTTTTAAATATTAAATCTATTTTTTTATTAAGGGAATTCTAGAATGCCTTATTATTAATAAAGTAATGAATTATTTTACTCAATATTAATATCACCTACGTTTGGTTATTATACGTTAAAAATAATGTTTAAATACCTAGTTGTTGTTAAAATAAGGTTTTTAAGAGTTATTCTGTGATTATATAGGAGTTACTATTGTAAAATAACCTTTTGTGGTTCAGACATGCAGACCGCACAATTTGCAATTTGACACGTTTGTAAATTTGTGTGGTGTTTTAACAAAATAAATTAATGACGGTTTTCTTGTTCTCTGTATTCAATTTTCGTATTTATACTAAACCAAAATATTCTGAAAATACTGTAGACAATTATTTGTTATCCTACTAATATTATAAAGGCGAAAGTTTAGATATTTAGATGTTTGTTACTTCTTTACGCAAAAACGACTGGACGGATTTTGATGAAATTTAGTATATAAGAAATTCTTAGTATGGATTAACATATAGGCTTCTTTTTATCTTACTCAAAGCTCCTCTAGGGATAGAAGTTCTTCCAAGCGCGCCTACTTTTGTGAAAAAACGGTAAGAGATATACGAATGCTTTTTAAAGAAAAGTTGGAAAACTTAAAAAAGTCCGCGATGTTATATATCTATGTGCTATGCTTTTTCACAAACTTAGAATACTTCGTAAAAGTGGATCTCATTTTTTTATCTGTGATTAGACGTTCATTTGAGTAGGTGATATTGAATCCTTAACGAAATAAATTGCTTATCGTCAAAAAAAATTATCGGTAACAAAATTGGTTTCGATTTTGTTGAAAATGGATAATACTCTCAATGTTTAATATGTATTTTTAGATTACATATGTAATATGTTAAATATATAGAGTTCAACCCAATGTTATTTAACGTTGAGTGCATTTTGATTATTAATTATTCAATATCAATCAAATCGATGGCTGAATCGAAGAAAAGAGACAAGGGAGAATGTACGGACACTTCATTCGATGACTTCTTTAAAACCAGACTGTAAACAAATAATCTAATGGCAAGTGAAACTATTATTTTGATACTATTAATAATTATTTAGTAATGCAAGGAAAGTTACAATAATCGCGCTAACCAAAATAGCAATCAACACTAGCTCAGAAACTCGACAAGAACAAGATTTCTTACAGAAATATATGCTGGCCTAAAAAATAACAGAAATAAACATAAGCTGTGTGTATAGGTTATTCAATAGAAATGATATTGTCAAAAAGCCAGCTAAGTGCAAGTTGCACCTGCGTATGGAGGGTTCCATACTGGAAACGAGCAAAAAATCAAGTTGGTTGTATGGAATTTCTCTTAAATATATATAAGGTTTGTTTCGCATGAGTTGTGATGAAATTTGGCCTGGAAAAGTATGAGACACTAAACAAGAAATAGAATACTTAGATTTCATACGAATCCTATGAAAGAAATGAAAATACAGGTAGAAGTTTGTATGGGAAATATTTTATTTACTTACATTCTTATATATGCTTCTACTTTTCTTTCAAACCGATAACTATTTATTATATCAATTTATAAAATGGCAAACTTGGAAAAAAACGACTTTCAAAGAATCGAATAATAATTTTTATTTTTATAAATTAAATGTACTCAATTTAGATTCGGGCGAAGATTTTATAGCTAAATTTTTACACGTCTCACTTCAAATGTAGTTTAAATTTGCCATAATAATATTTCACAATATTGAAGTCTATTTATATAGGTATGTCAATATACATTTTTATAAAAGAAATGATATTTTGTCAATAAAAGAAATAATCATAAAATAGGCAAACATCAGTGACAATAATTATGTGTTATAAAACGTAACTGACAGCTCACGTTCATCGTTCACTTGTTTTAATAAAACGTAACTGATAGTTCACGTAATGTTGTCAATATCAATAGTTTAAAATAAAATCAAAACATTGAAATTAATACATTATTTTGCATTAATTTCAATTAAATGCTCCATGCCAATGCAAACATAATACAAAGACATTCTACGAACCATTTTAAATTCACCATAGTTCATCACCAACTCTGAGATCCTTAAATGTCTGAACATAAGAACTATTAAAAATGAATTGAAGCTAGTGTTTGGTGTGGCGTAATGAGCTATGTGTTGGTTACAATGAACTGAAGCTGTCAGTGAATAAATATATAACGCCACTGGAGAATCATTCAAACGACTTAACTACCGAGACGATCAGACGCCATGACATACAAAAATCTTGCTTATAATGGTAAAGAATGTGGGGCCTTCTACTGGGGAGCACTTTATTCATGAAAAACTACAGGGAACAAATTTATTTATAGTTTGAGACTGAAAATTTTTTTCAAAAAATTGTCTTATCATTGTAGATAATACTGTAATTGTATAGTTTGTACAACCCTATAAGTTTCTAAAGTTTTTTTTACTTTAGTACCTTTTCAATAATATAAGAGCTTCTTTACCGTGATCTAAAATCATGTGAGGGACGTGTTAAAGTCGATCCTATAACGAACTTATTTCACCTGGCTGCGGTGGACAGGCGACGATCCCGCACGTATTTTTTTCCTGCGCCTCCTTCAATCGTGTCAAAGTGTCATTTACACGGGAAAATAAATTAACGAAACATGTGGAAGCGAAGCAAATTAACTGCTTATATAATTTCACAGCTTGTTAGAGTTTACGGTTCATGACGGTCGACTTGCTTGCGTCAACGATATAATTCCCGTATCTGCTGTGACGAATGAATTCATATATATATATATATATATATATATATATATATATATATTATATATTAATCGGGATAAACAAAATCATTATAGATACTCGTGATTATTAGATATATATATATATATATTTAACTCTTCCTAATATACTTAGTGGGTAGTCGAACCGTTATTCCACACAAGTGAATTCATTTGTTTAAATTGG